AGCGGCTTGGTGCGTGTTGGTTGTGTTCCTGAGTGGGGCGAAGCCCTCTGCGGAGAGCGGCGGTGGAACCCTGCTGAGAGCTGCTCTGACTTTCGGAGAAGTGACCCTCAAGGCAGAGCCCAGAGTTCGTTTGGCTCACCTGAAACTAGTGACTGGAAGGTGCTGGTCTGCCCCTGCGGTTTCTCGTGGCTCGTTCGGCTCTTGCAGAAGTGGAGTCGCTGGGGGGGAACTCGGCCGTGGTGGGACAGGGAACTGCTGGAGAGGGTCCAGCAAAGGGCAACGAAGATGATGAGGAGACTGAGGGGGGATCTTATTAACACTTACAAATACTTAACGGGAGGATGCCAGGGGGCTGGGAGTAGTCTTTTTTCAGTGGTGCCCAGTGATAGGACGAGGGGTAATGGGCATAAACTTGAACATAGGAAGTTCCATCTTAACATGAGAAGGAACTTCTTTACTTTGAGGGCAGTGGAGCACTGGCACAGGCTGCCCAGAGAGGTGGTGGAGTCTCCCACTCTGGAGACATTCAAAACCCGCCTGGACGCTGTCCTGTGTAACGTGCTGTAGGTGACCCTGCTCTGGCAGGGGGGTTGGACTAGATGATCTCCAGAGGTCCCTTCCAACCCTGACCATTCTGTGATTCTGTGGGGCTTCTGCTCTGCCCCATGGCCCTTCGCCCCCCGGCCTGCTGGTGACACGCACAGGAGGTGCTCCTCGCCTGCCGCGAGTGGCTTCCTCTTCAGTGTCGTGCGCGTTTCTGTAGCAAATCAAAGCCGGTAGGCGCGAAAGCGGCTTCTGCCGCTTTGTCAGCTGTTGTTAAGGGGAAGTTGTGGGTCTAAAACCTGTAATTCCGTGTGATGGGGGTACGGGGACGTGTGCGCGGAGCTGCTTTTCCTCAAAAGAAACTGCAGAGGAGAACCTGGAGTTGTCAAGTCCTTTCTTTAAATTTGGGAGGTTGATTTGATTAGTGGTTGGTTTATCCCATTAACTATTTTTAAAATTACTTCTGTCAGTTTTTTGCCAGTTGGTGGAATACTGGCGGCGCCCTCGGAGGAGTTTTTCCTTTGCTGAAGACCGTTGAAGCGCCCCCAAAGTGAATGTCTGGATTTTAATTGCTTTGGTTTCTTGTTGACTTCTCCGGTCTCGCACCGCTGAGGTCCCGGTTTCTTCCCTGGCTGCTGTAGAGGGGATTTTTCGGAGAGTGGGACCACCAAAGCGGGACAGAAGTCAAATCCCTGCCCCGACCTGCATGAGTTTCTTGGCGATTCGCTTTCGGGTTAGTGTGTGGGGCGAGCGAAGGCCTTTGGGAAGGCGGTCAACGTCTTTCCCGACCTCTTGGAGGTGCTGGCTCCGTACGTGCCGCGCAGGCTGCCGCCGCGGCGGCTCCTGCTGCCTCGGGAAGGGTCGGAAAGCTGCCGTCCTGCGACCCCTCTTAGTCCGGGCGACTTTTGGTTTTGTTCGTACGAGACGAAGGCAGCCCCGACCTACGCGGCCGCTTTATTTTTAGGGTGTGGAAGTGAAAGAGTGGCTGTGGGCATGCGTGCGCGCACACCCCTAAGTCCCCCAGGGAGAAGGTACCTCGGATAATAACCAACCCTAAATACTCCTCTTAAGGTGGCTTATTAATAGACAGGACTCTTTAAAGGCAGGAGGAAGCCCAGTCGGTATTGCCCGGTGTAATGCAGGGTAAATACGTCGTGCGGCGCTTACGTGGACACACAGCGTCACTCCCCTCTTGGTATCTGGAGCAGAAGAGGAGTTCCCTGCCCACAGGAATTGAAATCGCTGCCAGTGAGA